ACTCAAGGAGGAGAGATCTTTTTGTAGCATCCCCCAATACAAAATCATCAAGAATTCCAAATCTCAATACACTTTCAGAAAGAAGTCGATCGTGGCCGTCCAGATTTGTGAACTGTAATAGATATTTTATGAGGAGAGTGAAACACACCTCATAAATAAGATTGAGCCTCAAAGTTCCAATTAAGAAGACAGGTGATCCTTCTGCAATTCCTATACCACGCAATGTATCTCTAGCCTACAAAATTGTAAAGATATTGATGATAGAAAGGTATAAGAAGCTTCAAAGAAGATTGAGTCCTTAAAATAAACCAAGAAGATCAAAGATTTTTCTGTCCACAAGGTCAAAAGTCACTCATAAAAAGCTTGCACCCCCAATGATGGAGAGGATAGAAAAAACAAAAATGCCCGAATGGAGGAGAATAGAAGACTAATCACAAGAATAGGATATAAAATTGCATTGAATCTTCTCAGAGGCTGAATATATAGTTAGAATTTATTTTTGTGTATTACGATTTATGCTCTGTAACCTATTCTTATTTATACATAAAGTAATACAGCTTGTGTAATATCTATTAGTATCACAATTCTCCCCTATATGTTTAGACGTACATTGTTTTTTTTCACATGTGCTCTCGTCTCTATCTCTATGGTAGTCTATCTAGTAAGAATTTGTTTAGTCTTATAAGAGAAACCATGATAACAGGTGATAGCAAACAGTGTTAGAAAGAGAGGGAAGTCAACAAACACATCATTCCAGGCAGAAAGGCAGTAATTAACTCTCTTTCTTTTCTTGGATATGAAGAGAATCATTTGTATTCTCTTCAATCTCTATTTTCTTAATAATTTCCAAACCTTCGTCCTCAACTCCTTTTCATTATTTGAATTTGTTTTCTTGGTCTTTTCAGGCACACCAAATCAACATCTCTGCAAATAAGGAAATATATGCTTGTCAATGTCTATTGGAAGTAAGAGAAGAAGAAAGATATCTGTGTCGAAGTCATTAAGAAACCCAACAAACTTTTCTATAATTATTATTTACGAATTATGCCCCTGAAAAAAGTGGATAGGAATTATTAAATGTTATTAAGTAATATCAACAAATATGATACTCTTCTCGGTCCTGTGATTGGTCTTCTCACTTATTTTTCGAGTATTTTTTCCCACCACACACAGTTATTTTTTTGAGTCAAGGGACAGGATGTGGCTGTCTAGCTACCCTGATTACGACTCACAAAGGACACTATTATCAGAAAAGGGGAAGGCGTGTGAAGAACCTTCAGTACGTTAGTAATCTAAGCAAAAGTCTTCTTGAAGAGAGTAAACATCAGTCTGAAGAGAACTTGTGATTTGGCAGTTTCAAAAAATTGGAAGCACGAACGGCAAGAAAACTCGTTACAGGCCGATTTGTTTTCTTGGTGCAAGACCGGGCAAGAAAACTCATCACCCAGTCATTTGTTCTTGAGTGCGTCTATTGAACCTTAACATCTGGACTAAAAGGCAATAAAAAATTAAGTTCCTCGTAAATGTAACATCCCTTCCCGGTCCACCTGTTAACGCCGAACTGAACCTGAAGCCGGGAGACGCTACCAAACTGGTTGACTTTAAATGTCTTGTCATGCTGATGTCATAAATGTATACTGAATATTATCATGGGGCTGATGTGTTTTGTTTACAAAAATAATGTAATTTATATATTTACAAGACAATGATACTAATGTCAAAATGAAATGGGCCCAATCTGTGTGCCCTGTACATCCATAAAAAGGGTAGGACACAAGGTACACATCCAAATGAGTAGCTACCTTTGCGACTGAGTCTTCTACAGATGAAAACTGCAGGTAGTTGCAAGCTGACCTCTACCGGTCCAAAATTCAAAACCTGCGAGTTAAACAGGTAAACTTCGCTGAGGCAAATAAAGCTCAGTGGAATCTCAACAATATAAAGAAACCATTAAGCACATAACATAGATAGATGAATAAGCAAGTTAAATTGCATATGGAATAAATTAAACCATATTAAGCACATATATGGCATGATCCTTTCCTTATACCTTGCTTATCTTTCGTACTGTTTATAATACTCGTATGGATTTCATTGAATGTTTGTCAAGAATCTGGATGGCTCCATAAAGGTTATAGTGAAACCGAAAGTGATAAGAAAAACTGTATGAAACTGGATTGAAGACTTGTATGACTTGCTCTATTGGCCCATATATAATCATATCCCATCTCAACGGGCCTGTACCGGAGTATCAAACCTATGGGGTGCATGATCTTGCTATTCTATTCGCGGACATAGCCTTATCTACATGGTTTCTGCCTAACCTCAAATGGAGCCTAATGTTGGTATGTCAATAATAATAACAAACTCAATATTCATAGTTTCTAACTTCATAAATCATAAAATGTTTATATTGATTTCACATCATTTTGCATGCTTGCATGTTGTTTATACATGATTTAATGTTGTATTTTTTTGTAGTAAAATGATTGGAGGCATACAAGTTGAGCAAAGGAATTCCAATTGCATCTGAAAAATGAAAGTCCCAAAAGTGGCATGAAAACACAAGTCGCCTGAGCGCGCCTCCTTGCAAAGTCGCGAGCGGCGTAGAGTGCAAAATGAAGACAGTGAGTTATCGGGCACAAGTCACGCGAAGTGAGTACTTGAAAAGTCGCCGAGCGCGTTAGAATGTGGCAAAATGAGCAGACAGTGAGTTCCCAGGCCAAATTCGCAGCGCTGCGCGTTTTTCCAAGCCCTGCACAATCTTACTCTTTTGGTCATATCCTTAATATACAACTCCGTTTAATTTGGATGAATTCAAAAACCGCCAAATAAAGCAACACACAGAGGAAAAAAGTAACTCTTTCTATGACACTTCCTAATTCCAATCCACTAAATAGGGTCAAAATCAAGATGAAGTTAATAGTAAAATTTCCAGCAAAACCTGTTTCAGCATCAACCTCACTATTTTTACTGTTTCATTTATTCCAATACTCTCCCTGTTTCTCTCCCTGTTTTCTTCTCACACTCATTTACCATCCTCCCACTCACATGAAAAGCAATATTGTCTATTACAACACACCCCCACAATTCTCAATGCAAAGAAAATGGAAAATGACAAGCATAATCAAAAACCTTTACTCCAAAAAGCTTGAGCTTTTCTTAATTCTTTTTCTACACTCTTTGGAAACTCCCTTCACCTATAATCAAGAATTCTTATAACATTATCTATTCAATTATAGCTCACTTTAGAGGTTGAATAATAATAAAGCTTCAAGAAATTTTTACTTACTTGGAGAAAATTGAGGTATCTTAAACTACCATGAAAATGGATGGAAAAAGGAAGAAAGGAAGAAGATGAGAAGATTAAACATGAAAATGGAAAGTGAAGTGTTAATCACGGGTAGGGCATCACAATATCAAGGGATTTTTATTGTAAACTTCCTAACTGGTAACTTTCATTAGAAAAAGGCTATCACTTACTAAACTAAGCTTTACTCTTTTAATGCAAATAAATACAATCACCCATATGCTTTGATCTTTTTCTCTATTCAAGTAAGTCCACTTATACCCCATTCCTACCCCAACCGGGTTTGGTTCAACCACGATCTCACTGCAAGACTCGACTCAATGCTAAGTACTCGACTCGGTAGGAAGTGTCACATTCTTCCCCTCCTAAATAAAAACTTCGTCCCGAAGTTTTACCTGTTGTGAACAAATTGCGCGATACTGTCGTTCCGCAATGGTGTTCTTCAGATTCCCAAGTTCTTCTGTCTGTCCGTATGATTCCTCCAAAAGAACTTTTACCCAAATGCTATTGTTTGTTTCCGCAATCTTAATTTTCTCTTTGTGCTAAAGATCTGAATTGGTTCTTCTTCATATAGTGAGATCCGGCTTGAATTTCCAATCTCTTACTGCTGAATAACAGCGTGCGATGGTCTTGGATCGATACCCGTCCTTAACATTGATAACATTGAAAGACATTATAATCCGAATCTAAGATTGAAGGTAACGCTAGCGATAGGCCTAATGGTCCAACACAACGTTCCAATCAATCTCGTATGGACCAAATGAACCTAGGGCTAAGCTTCCCCTTTCGTCCAAACCCTTAGAATCTTTTTCCATGCGTGAAACTTTCAGAAATACCTTATCACCGACCGAGTACTACTAATCTTTCTCTTTAATATCAGCATCAGACTTCTGTCGATCTCTTGCTTCTTTCCAGCCCGTTTTTCTGATGATGTCCACTTTCTCTTCTGTTTCTCTAACCAAATCTGGACCCAAAATCTTCTTCTCACTCAGTTCTGTCCAACACACAGGTTTGTCCTACATTGTCTACACATACAATTGCCTTCATATGGTGGCCATTTTAATGCTCGATTGGTAGCTGTTGTTGTACGGCAAACTCGCATGAGAGGTACATATCTTGTCCCAACTGCCTTTCAAATTCTATCACACATGATCTCATCATGTCCTTCCAGGATTTGAACACTGAACTCTCTCTGATTGGCCATCTGTTTGAGGATTGAAATGCAGTGCTGAAATGCAATTTTTCGTCCCAAACTGCTTTCCCTGCAGTTTACCAGCTAAAATTTCGATTGTAAAACCGTTGGACTCACGGTCAGATATCATGGAAATGATGGAACTCCATGTAAATCGACCTATTTTCTAAACATAAATGGCTGCTAATTGTCCAGAGAAAGTCCATCCGATACTGGTAGGTAAGTGTGGCGGACTTAGTTAATATGTCCACGATCACCATCACTGCATTCAATCTCCGCTCTGCGTCTGAGGTAATCCAGTAGACAAGAATCCATCGTGATCTGATCCCACTTCCATGTTTGGCACTGTTATTGGATGAAAGCAACCTAGCTGGCAGTTGATGCTCTGCTTTTTACTTGTTGGAAATGTTTAAACATCTTGTTATCAACATTTCCGGATATCTTTCTTTATGCCCGCCAACCAATAGCCTGTTCTTCAAATCTTTGATAACAATCTTGGTAACTACTGGGATGGCATTGTATAGCTTGTTATGGCTTCATGGCAGAATCTTTTGTCCTAAGCTCCCCTATCTGTGGTACAACAACTCCTGTCTTATAGAATAAGACTCCACTATTATCCAGATCTGAATTTCCCACCATGATCTTCCTGTATCTTGTTTCACCCATAGTGCTGTTTGTGCATCTTTCTTCTGTGCACCTCTGCAACTTCCGAACCCAAGATGGCTGTACTTGCATCTGTGCTAGAATAACTCCCTGCTGTTGCAACTTCCATGCTAATTATCATTGCTCTCAATAGCCACACAATGATTTCCGGCTAAGGGCATCAGCTACCCCACAGTTAGCTTTGCCCGGCATGATAAATTAATGTGAACATAATCATAATTGAGCCCAAAAAGCCTGCATTCCACTTCCCGTTTGTCTTGAATTCAAAATCTTTCCTGTGTCGGTAAATACTTTAAACTCTGATGGATCTGTGTAAATGTTAACACTTTTCAACCGTACAGATAATGCCCCGCCATACTTTGAATGCTAGAACAATGGCTGCCTAATTCTAAATCTATGGCCGGATAATTCAATTCATTGTGGCTGTCAAACTGTCGGAGACATCAAGCTATCCACTTTTCTGTCTGTGGCATGAGTCCACATCCTAACCCAATATGAGAAGCATCAACTGTAAATTCAAAGTCTTTAACCTGACACACTGGCTAGTCACAACTGGTAACTTTCAGTTTCAAACTTTTTTTCTTCAAAGTAAATCAAAACTCTGCTGACATCTATTATCCATTGGAAACAACTGCTTCTTCAATACATCTTGTTAAGAGGTGAATGCAATGAATGAGAACTCCCTTTTACAAACACTTCTGTAATAGCCTGCTAAAACCCAGACCAACCTTCGAACTTTTGTGACATTTCTGGGTGGTCTCCAATAAACAATAGCTTTCAATCTTATGAGGATTCCACTCTGATACCTCCGATGACACCACAAATGTCTAAAAAAGAAAATAGGTCCTTCCTTTCTTTTAATTCTTTTTTTTTTTTTCCACCAAAACTCACACTTACTGAGCTTGGCATACCAGCTGTTTATCCTCAGTGGTCGGAGTACAATCCGCAAAATGTTTATCATGTTTTCGACCTTGTCTCTGGAGTAACCAAATGTGTCATCTATAAACAACCACCACAAACTGATCCAGATATGAATGAAAACGTGGTTCATGAGATCCATGAAAACCGCTGGTGCCATTTGTAAGCGCAAATGGCATTCACTTAAAATTCATAATGAACCGTTCGGGTCCTGAATGCTGTCTTGGAGATATCTTCTTCCTTTATCCGCAGCTGATGGTATCCCGACCTAAGGTCGATCTTAGAAAACAGACCTGCACCATTTAGCTGATCAAACAAATCATTCCGATTCGAGGCAATGGATACTTATTCTTGATTGTCAGTTTGTTCAGTGTTGTCCTGTAGTCAATTTTCACCAGCTGAATGATCAGTCTTTCTTCTTTAACAAAATAATACCGGGTGCTCCCAAGGTGATACACTGGTCAGATAAAGCCTTATCGCAATGAATCCTGTAAGCTGAATCTTTAAACTCTTTAGCTCTGCTGGTGCATTCTGTAAGGTGCAACTCGATACTGGTGCTGCCCAGGATAGACATCTATGGTAAACTCCACTTCCCTCCTTGGTGTAACCCTGGTAACTCTAGAAACACGTCTGGATAATCACACACTGTTAGTATGTCTTGCACTTTTGAATTTTCTTTTTCTGCTTTCAGTGCACATACCAAGTATGCTTCATAACCCTTCTGAATTAATCTCTTTGCTACCATGGCTGATATCACATTACCCAGAAAATTGCACCGTTTCCCGACAACTGTAATCTCTTCCCCTGCTGCTGTATATAATGTCACCCTTTTCTTTGCACAATCAACTATAGCCTGATGTCTGGATAGCTAATCCATACCCAGAATAACATCAAATTCTCTGAATGGCAATTCCATAAGGTCTCCTGGAAACTCCTTTCCATGAATAACAACTTCCATGAATAACAATTGGACATCCTGTCGACCACTCTTATGAGTTTGGTACTACTCTCCTAATGGATTAGTAACCTAACATACCCTATCACATGTGCCAACTTCTAAACCCGTTTAAACCCCAGGTTAGGTACATCTATGTATGTGAGAGGATCCCAGGATCAATAACGAAGAAACGTAATGATCACATAAAGAAAACTCAACCAACTATTAACTCTGGAGCTCCTCATCTCCTGGTTTCGCATCGCATAAGACCCTGGCTGGGACCTCTAGTATCGGGTCTGTCCACAGTCTCTGACTGCTGTCTCTGCCTCCGGAGCTCTCACCTCTACCTCTGCCTGCTATGAACTGTGTAGGAACCTTTGCCCCTCTTTCGGACAATCCTTCTTCTGATGGTCTGATTGCTCCGCATATCCACAAGTTTACCAGTCACCAAACCAACAACTCCACCAGCCGTCTGCCACAATGCTCACAAGGTGGAAAAGTATAACCACTGGCTCTTCTGCACCTCTAACTGGTGCCTCTACCTAGTTCCTCTGCCTGACCTCGACTACCACCAGTAGAACTAGCCCAACTGATACCGCTGGAGTGTTAGCCACCCTAGTCTGGCGCCTTGGCTAAAGGAAGGTCTAAGAACTAGCTGAACTACTAGCAACCTGAATCTCTTGCTTTCTCTGACTGATAGGTAACTGGGTGCACTCTGGTTTGGTCCTCTCTCCTGCTTGAGACCTCCGCATGTGGCGTCTGGTACGCTGACTGGCCTGAATTCGTCTATCTCCTGAGCTGCCTCTACCAAAGCTGAGACTCCTCTTGAATCTGGAAGCTACCACTCCATTTGAATCCTCATCGTTCAAGGCCTTCTGAAACTTTTTAACACCTTTCGGCCTCTGTGTCACTATCCCATTACCATATCTGCTTGAGCCTGGTGAATCTCTCTCATATTCGCACTGACATCTGTTCCTGCCTCAGATATAAGAATTCTTTTCCTCCTTGCATCTAGGAGCCTCTGTAATGAACTTTTTCTGAATTCATCCAAGAAGAATTGCCATGTACGCTGCTTTCTGCTGATACCCGCTGCTGACAGTAGTCCCACCATGTATATGCCTCATCTATGAGAATGATGTGGCACCAAACCAACTTTCTCTGGTGGTACCATGTAATTGTTCCAGAACTCTCGATGTCCATCTAACCAATACCTTCAGCTATTTCTGGACTATATCTTGTTTAGCATGAATTCTTTTCGCCCCATATTTCCAAAGCTTCTCTAGTGGGGCTTTCTTTCTCTTTCAACTACTATTGGTGCTCCCCCCCCCCCCCCCATTTACACACCACTTGTGGCTTGATTGAATATTTCTCAAGTCTCAATGACTCTCTCTCTCCCTCAAGTGTGAAAAAAAAAAAAAAAAAAAAAAGCTTGTAAAATAGTCTATGGCTTGCTCTTTGTGCATGCTGAGCAACATTAGCTGTAATAATTGTATAAGATCAATCTTTTTCTTCTTTTCTGAATATATATAAGGGATTGGATTATTAGGTTTGGATGACTTATCATTCTTTGCTCTTGGGATGGGGTGTTAATGTAGTTATTAGGAGGAGACTTGAGTGATGACTATTTTGGTTGTCGTTTTTAATTTAATTCCTTTGACTTGTAAGTGTTTCTTGAGTGAAATTTTGAATGGGAACGATGCAAATTGCTGTCTGCTTACAACATTTTGGTGTGGTTCTGTGTTGTAGATTGATGGAAATGTTCAAAGAGAAATTATTAATCACAGGTCACTAAGGCACCCCAATATTGTGAGGTTTAAAGAGGTTAGCTTGCTTTGTGGCCTTCCAAGCATCGCTTTTAGAGGAGGTATGGTGATTTAACTTGCTCTTAATCTTACTTCAGGTCATCTTAACTCCTACCCATCTGGCTATTGTGATGGAATATGCCTCTGGAGGAGAGCTTTTTGAGAAAATATGCAATGCTGGACGATTTAGCGAGGATGAGGTTTATAGTCCAATATACTGACCATGCTTTTCTGTTTTTCATGCTTTTTATATGCTTTCTTGACATTTGTTTCCTGGTTCAGGCTCGATTCTTTTTTCAGCAACTCATTTCAGGAGTTAGCTATTGTCATGCTATGGTAATCAGACTTATGTTGTTTCCCTTCCTTTCTTTTTACTATTATTGTTGCTGTTTTGTGGTACAAACTACATGTTTATGTAATTTATTTGGCTTTTTAATGTTTCCTTCTTGATGAAGCAAGTATGTCACCGTGATCTGAAGTTGGAGAATACTTTACTGGATGGTAGTCAGGCTCCTCGTTTGAAAATTTGTGATTTTGGATACTCCAAGGTACCGAAGTACCTATTATCTGTCACTTCTACACATCTATTGTCTATAACTTAAGCCTTCTGTTCCTCCTCTCTGTCCCTTTCCCTTTTCTTTCCCGCATCGATTATGTGCTTACATATTTTACTACATTTATGGACATTTGGACTTCAAGGTTGAGAGTGGTGGATGGTATCACCAACAACTCTCAAGACTATGGTGCTTTGTGGTGTTTCTTTTTTAATGAACCATCGATTTAGAATGATTAAGAATTGTGGTTCTTTGTTTAGGGAATTTGCTTTTTATTTTACAATGGAATGCTTGAATAAATAAGACAGTGTGAAGTTCCAAAGTTTTTTTTTTTTCCCTAGATCTTTTATATTGTTGGGAAAGCATATTAGATACTTCAATTTTGTTCCTAACTGGGATTGAATGCCATTAATCATCTCTTCTTTCTTGCTGTTTGTCGTCCTCTTTTTCTCAGGAATATTTAGAATCTTTTTCTCTTCTCCTCATTGTGTGTCTCTATTGTTGTTTCCAGTCATCGGTGCTTCATTCACAACCAAAATCAACTGTAGGAACTCCTGCTTACATTGCTCCAGAGGTGTTGTTGAGGCAAGAATATGATGGCAAGGTAACACCCTTTTTACTTCATTATTCATTTAAAGGACATTTGGCAATCTTCAGCAGTTCAGATTCTTTTTTTTTTTTTAAATGTTTTTAGATAGCATTTTTATACGTTTTTATTAAACTGATTTGATGTAGCAATATATTTGAGGTTAGATTGCAAACTTGTTTGTTTTTGTTGTTTTGTTCTAGAAGTGATTGGCAGTCAGTCATGTTGAGTGGAAAATTGGGAATACAATGAGCCAGAGGTCTATATCTCTCATAGTCTTTTATCTTCTAATGAATTTTTAATTGAAATTTCTTTTGTTTGTGCATATTGCTTTCGGTTCTAGTTGTGTGTATGCGAGCATTGTGGTTGATATTATGTTCACACTTTTTGTTTATAAATAGTGCATTTCTCCTTTGTGGTCGACATTCCTGATTGAAAAAGATTCTCCAAAACCAAATACCAAAACATGATTTGAGGATATAAATGCCCATAATCAACACCACAGGAAGGAGGGTTTAATTTGTGTGAATTGCAGCCTATCTGATGATTCTAGCATGGCCATATTCATAAAAAGAAGTTGGCTTGCTTTCCTGTTGGCAACCTGTCCATGTTAGATGCAGTGCTGGTCCAAGATGTTACATGTGTCACTATGCCAAGAAGTTGGCATTTGTTTCCTGTTTCTCTGTCTTCTTAGTTTATGGCTTATTTGTAATTTTAGATGACTTATGAACATGCTCGCTTCTCATTACGTAAGTTCTTTAGAATTTGACTGTCTTATAACAAGTTACATCTGCAATGCCAGATTGCAGACGTGTGGTCATGTGGGGTAACATTGTATGTGATGCTGGTTGGAGCATATCCTTTTGAGGATCCTGATGAGCCAAAGGACTTCAGGAAGACAATACAGGTATACTCCTAGATCCTCTTGTTACTTGCTACCTTCTTATGCAACTTTTTTTTAATGCAAGACAACTTTCTTGTTGGATGCTTGCAGAGAATTCTGAATGTCCAGTATTCCATTCCTGACATGGTTCGGATATCTCCTGAGTGTTGTGACCTGATTTCTCGAATTTTTGTTTTTGATCCTGCAGCAGTGAGTAGTTTCTTTTATTAGGCATCTTCATTTTGTTGTATAAATATATTTCTTTGGTGTGTGATTAAGAACAGCATGAGAAGAAAAATATTATAGTGAAGTGAAAATGCATCTCTTACTACTAATTAGCTATTTCTTGCATTAGTTTATTCTGTCGCCATGCACTGTGATGGAAACAAAAACATTTGGGTGAAACTGAAATTAAATCGTCATATATGAACCTTGTGCAAAATTTTTTAAGCAGATTTGGAAAATCAATTTTAAGTTGCCAAACTGATTAGGAACCAACTTTGGCCCCAAAATCAGCTACTTCAAGTAGCCACAGCAATATCGAAATGAGGCCTTAATCCCAGATATGTAATAGATGTAAATAAAGCCTTATTTATTATGTTAACTATTTCTGTTAGGGTGGCCATTTGTATAAGCTTTTGCTTTTGTGTTTTTGCATGCGACAGAGGATTACCATTCCACAAATCAAGAACCATGACTGGTTTGTGAAGAATCTTCCTATGGACCTAATGGATGAAAACACAATGGGGAATCAGTTTGAAGAGCCTGATCAACCAATGCAGAGCATTGACACCATCATGCAAATAATTTCTGAGGCCACCATACCAGCTGCTGGCGCACATGTTCTTGATCGATATATGAATGACAACCTTGACATGGATGATGATATGTCGGACTTTGATTCTGAATCCGAGCTTGATGTAGATAGCAGTGGTGAGATAGTTTATGCACTCTAATCACAGCATGTCAAGATGAGGTGTTTCTTTGAGCATATGGACATATCAAGATCTAGCCAGAAAGAATGTATTTTAGAATGCATTAGGTTAGCATAGCAACAGCTTAGGAAAGTAAAATATGTGCTTTGGTTCTGTCATGTTCACAATATGCATTTTCTGTTCTGTTCTGTGTGGAGGGATTTCATCTTTCTGCTTTACAGAGGTTGGTAACTGGTACAAATTCTCGAACTTAGGGATATGCACCCATTGCCATCCCATTGAACTATTATTTACTAGTCACTTTTGTATTGGTTCTGTGCCTTTTTTTCCTTTCCTTTTATCTTTTCCTTTTTGATGCTGTTTGGCTTAAATCCTTTAAGTCTGTATGCTCTATGTAACAGGTGATTATAAATTAATATATATTTTACAACTAGTTTTTCTCCCTGCCTCAGTTTTGCACTTAATAGGTCTGTCTTAATACTGCACCTAAGGATTAATTAATCAGCTTCACCTGTTAATCAGATTAATTAATCAATTCTTTTTCCTGCTTCAACTCAACAATTTCCTTTCCTGTTAGAGATTTGAAGTTTTTGTTTGTCTTACCAAACCAATAACAAAAAGGCTCAAATTTGCTTCCTGGATTTGGAAGTATTATACTATTTGCTTAAAATTTAACTTTTTGAACAATGTATCCTTTGATATGCACCAAAAAGAATAAAAAGCTAAAAAAATTAATTTAAATCAAATATAATTAAATAAAGAATAATAAATATATCTTAAATCAAATATTCAATGCAACACATATTTTCTCATTCTATAATTTTTAAACCAAATACAAGATACAATTTGGTAATTTTTTATAACTATATGTTATATTTTTAAATAATTTTTTATTGGGTAATTTAAAAATTTTTAAGTAATTTCTTTATTAGTTAAAAGTATTCTTTTATTTAACTAAATTGGAAACAATTTTTTGTTTAAAAATTAAAATAATTTTACTAAATAAAAATATTATTTTATTTTATTTTTTTGCCAAAAATTAAACTTTTATATTCTTTTTGTGTAAATTTAAGAGGTAAATTATATAAAAAATTAAATTATAGATTGCTTCAAAATTCAGCTCAAATTGAGCCTTTCCAAAAGAATATGGTGAGAACGATTCCTGGAAAAAAATTTAGGCCATCAGTGGTTCATAGTGTAAATTTGTCAGTGGTCTGCATGTACTGACAACAGAGTCAATGAGCAAATTGATTGTTTGATAATCCATAATGTAAAACATATTTGATTGTCTTACACACTTGATTTTGTGATGCTTCACATAAGAAGTGAAAAATGAAATTGAAATAAGTAATCCACAACCACAAAGCTAGTGAAGCACCTTATTAATTACATCTTCATTTGGTCTGTATGAGTTCCCATCTGAAAAAGAGTTATGGCATCTGCATTACTTAATGTTCGCAATTTATAACTAGAACCCAACAGTGGAAATTCGAATCTTGATGTCACCAAAATCTTGTAACCTGGTATTGGGAATGTCAGCTTCTCAACAAGCGGTTCTGCTCCAGACCAAACATCATCAAGGACCAACAGTATAGGATCTGGTCCTATGGACCTCAGCAAATTTTCCAATTGGTTAAGAGCATCTTTCTCACTTAAAAAATCAGGCTCCATCTGATTCAGATGCTGGAATAGCCCTTGTACAATAACCATCAGGTTGGGTGATTTTGAGACGACTACAAAGAAGATATTGCTCTTGTATTTGTCTGTTCATTGGCATAATCCCATATAAGAATATTGAATTTTTTGGAATTCTATATATAGCATTTCACATAAAGAAAATATAATGCAAGAAAGACTATAGGCGAACACCCAAATCCTAATCTCCAAGGACACAAAACCATAGGTTACATTTCCCTCATCAGTCTTCTGAGAATTTCCAAGTAATAAATGGTCAATTGAGCCTAAAACATTATCTGACAGCCATAGAGGTTGAACACTTTGTATAGAAAACCTTAAATTTGCTTAATTATTATCTCAATCGTTGGAAATCAGGCGATTCTTGCAGTGATATAAACAGTATTTCTGCTTGTATTTTAATCTAATAGAATCACCACCTTTCCCTCTAACCCTAATGAGCAATGACTGATTTATCTAACAAAACATAAATGTTCTAAAGTTCAATAAAGATAGCATCAGAATAGATCAACTCATGACTGCAGCAACCATTAATACCACGGATGATTAACAAATAATTCTCACAAGATCAAAACTACAAACTAATGCACCCATCACAACTAAAAAAAAAAAAAATAATGCACCCATCACACTAAAAAAAAAAAAAACGAATACCAAATGAGCTTCGGTTCAAGTTGTATTAAATGTCGTCTCAAGGTTGAGAAGGTTCAAACGTTCTGAAGCCCAATCAAAAGTTCAAACACATTAACTGACAAAAGAAAGGGAAAAGAAAAGGGTAAAATCCACAAAATAAGAATAAACTAGGTAACCTCATTAACATCGGAATCATGTGACAATAGCGCCTTAGCCATTGTGGACTTCCACTATCTTCAGGAATGCAGATACAGACAATTCCACTTGCAGTGTTTTTTAAGCAGCTTTTCTTTCAAATCTTTCAGTGGAATCTCTAACCCAACTGGCTTAATCTTAAGCCCAGGAGGTGAACACACACCTACAAAACCACTCTTACCGGATATACCACCAACATTCCCACCACTATATGCTCCAATACCTAAACTGCTGAACTTTGTACTAAGTACCTTTACTTCAAACAGACCCTCTTTTATATCTGCAGATTGCTGTAATTGTAAAGTGGTAGTATGATACCTACGAATAGACTCCTCCAACTTCGTTAATTTCTTGATATAAAAAGGCTTCAAGACATAATTATACTTGTGGATTTTTGAACATTTAATTACTAAAGCTTCACCTTTCTTGATCAAATCTTTTAACCCATCAATTTCTCCCGGTCGATCAAACTCTCTATTTAATGAATCGATTCTTCTGATACTGAGCAAAAACGACTGCAGCAAATCTTCAAGATCTTCC